GGGACCCACCACTTATATAGTATGATGATGATATATATACCCTTGGTAGTCCAAGGGAACCACCACTTATATAGTATGATGATGATATATAGTAAGTTGGTAGTCCAAGGGAACCACGACTTATATAGTATGATATGAGCTCTTTTAAGGAAGGAAATAACGGGAATAACCACCACTTATATAGTATGAAATCATGGGAATACCCTGGGACCCACCACTTATATAGTATGATGATGATATATAGTAAGTTGGTAGTCCAAGGGAACCACCACTTATATAGTATAGTATGAAGTATGATAATGATATATTGTAAGTTGGTAGTCTAAGGGAACCACGACTTATATAATATGATAGGAGCTCTTTTAAGGAAGGAAATGACGGGAATACCCTTGGTAGTCCAAGGGAACCACCACTTATATAGTATGATCCAAGGGAACCACCACTTATATAGTATGATCCAAGGGACCCACCACTTATATAGTATGATCCAAGGAAACCACCACCTATATAGTATGATAGTACGAAGTATGATGATGATATATAGTAAGTTGGTAGTCCAAGGGAAACACCACTTATATAGTATGATCCAAGGAAACCACCACCTATATAGTATGATAGTACGAAGTATGATGATGATATATAGTAAGTTGGTAGTCCAAGGGAAACACCACTTATATAGTATGATCCAAGGAAACCACCACCTATATAGTATGATAGTACGAAGTATGATGATGATATATAGTAAGTTGGTAGTCCAAGGGAAACACCACTTATATAGTATGATCCAAGGAAACCACCACCTATATAGTATGATAGTACGAAGTATGATGATGATATATAGTAAGTTGGTAGTCCAAGGGAACCACCACTTATATAGTATAGTATGAAGTATGATAATGATATATTGTAAGTTGGTAGTCTAAGGGAACCACGACTTATATAATATGATAGGAGCTCTTTTAAGGAAGGAAATGACGGGAATACCCTTGGTAGTCCAAGGGAACCACCACTTATATAGTATAGTATGAAGTATGATAATGATATATAGTAAGTAAAAAAAAAAAAAAATTTTTGATAGAAGTAGAATAGAAAATAGAAAAAAATAGAAAGTAGAAATAGAAAATATTATATAAAAGAAAGAAATATTAATAGAAAGAAATAGAAAGTAGAAATAGAAAATATTATATAAAAGAAAGAAATATTAATAGAAAGAAATAGAAAGTAGAAATAGAAAATATTATATAAAAGAAAGAAATATTAATTAGGCCACGTGGCCATTTTTGATTGGCTTGGTGGTAGTTGAGGAACCACCACTTATATAGTATGATTTAATTCTTTTGAGTTGTCAAATGAATTTTTTTGTTTTAACTATTTAGAAGAGATATGGTCAGCAGTTTACATTAGTTTCTTAATTACTCATCATTCACCACATTTATTTGAACATTATTTATGGTGGAACTAATGTCACGCTCAAGTTAAAAAAGGAGATAACGAATGATAAACCGTAGTACAAGTAGTTAAAAGAAAATATTAAATACATACGACTTTATGAAAACAATGTTAGTTGATATAACTCTTTGCAAAATATAGTAAAAACATACGAACCAAATTTTATGATTAATATATAGATTTTATTTTTATAGGTCATGCATTAATATTCTTGTATTTGGTTTTCCTTTTTTTAGAAAACTTAACAAGAGTGATAACTATTTACGTATAACACTTGACAGTGTGCTACTGCCATGCATCTTGTTTACAAATTAACTTTTTTTTTTTCTTTCATAAACCCCTTTATGCCTTAATATATGCTGGAAAACAAGAGTTCACACTAAGGCCCGTTTGGGCGTAATTATTTTTGAAAACTCAAAACAGCATTAATGTTATATTGAATTGATTTATATAGTTTTGACCAGTATTAACCGCAGACCCAAAATAACTTTTAACTTCCAAGTGCTATTTTTTGGGTTAAATATCACAATATTTAGTTCGAAAGAAAAGGAATGGAGGCAATTATCTTCCCAATTTCTCTCCCCATCTTTTTTACTGAACCTCTTCAAGAGCACCAGCAGTACCATATGAAAACACTCGTCTTCTCCTTCTACTATTTTTTTCTAATAATTTCTTGTCAAATATACTACAAAACATTTCATCTGAAAAAAATAACTTAGAATCAAGTAAATATGTGGGGATTTAGCATAGATCACAACATCAATTTAACGAGTAATCAGGAAACCTTGATAACTACCTGGAAAAGAAGTACCTAGATGCAGAAAGCCACACAAAGGGGGTCCGGGAGCAAAATTTGGTTCGTATAATAGCCATTCTCCAAAGGTGTATATGCAACCTACAAACTATTGGTTGACATTCAGCAACTAGGAAGAACACACAAACGAAAGAACACTTTATACAAGCACCATTTCGTTAGATTTCACCTCTCAAATCTTGTTTGCAAGTCCTAGTTATTAATCAAAAATGTACCAAACATCAAAATCACTCAGATATAATGAACACAAACAATTTAAAACCCAAAAAAGTGACCCTTCAGTTATCCACCACCGTGAAAGTAATAAGAGAATACAGGAAAGATACAGCCCAAGAAAACTATAAGGGACCTTGAGCTTGTGAGGGTGGAGGATGCATAGGCCAGCCAAGAAGTTGAGGTGAACCAGGAGGTGTTGAGTGCTGACTAGGAGAGAATACACTTAGTTCCACAAAAGCCACCCCTGAGGTTGCATCCTTGTCCGTTGTTCGAAAGGAGATGGATCCTCTCTTGGTTGAGGCAGCTGAATTTCTCCCAGGACTGCTCACCATACTTCCTCCAAGGGTACTTTGGTTAGCAATTAGAGAAACGGTATCATTTTGTTCATCACTTAACCTTCTCCTAGCCTCTATATCCCTCTCTGAGCTCTTCTTCAATGCTAAACAATCTCGCATGGGCATGACAATGAGCATGAACATGCCCATCCCAATACAAAAAAAGAAGGAAACAAAACCCACAAATGCAAGAGCTTGAAAAGGTAAATGTTCTGGCAGTGTTCTAACAGTTAAACCGAGTAATAGAACCCTTACAGGAAAGAAAGCTGAAACTGACAACACTAGCATGTATACTCTCTTTTGCAGACTCCTATTGATAACCAAATGCAGGATTCTTCCACCAAGCCAGAACAAATATGAAGTTAGCATGATGGCAAAAAGACCAAGGCAGAAAGTACTCAACAAAGGGTAAGTGCACAGGGCAACATCATTTTCAAATTGCTTGACTGGACTAGTGAAATAATCTGGCAAGTGTTTCAAGCTATTCTTCTTAAGTTGTGGTCCAGCCAAAATAAGCACGAGCTGTAGAACAAAAACTGGGAGGCAAAAAAGAAGTATGTATCCGACTGTTTTGCCATTCCATTTCTGGCTTAAAGTTCCCGACTTCTGTAAGGAAGCGCGAAGGAGAAACACAACGGTTAGGTACAGGCAAGGTTCTGCAAAACCTAAGCTCGAAACAATGTAACACTTGCAAACAGTTTCCTGCCATCTGAAACCAAAAGCATTCAACAATCTTCCTTCCCCTCTAATCAAGTTAAGCCGAACAACCTCTCCAAATCCCCACCAAATTGCAAACAATATAAATACAATCCGGATAATCCAAGGACCATGAAAATAACCAAGCTGATTGTAACCTTGCCCGCGAATCTTCGTATGAAAGTATATCAAGTACAGTATACAATACAAGCCAGCAAGTACCAAAATTGAAACAAGTATAATAGTAATTACACCTAGTGCATCAACAGCAAATCTCGAATAGGGCATTACCCAAACCACAAATTGCACGCATGCTCTCTGACAGCATGGAGACCTGAAACCCTCACTCCTCCCTCCACCACCACCTCGAAATCACAGATTTAACTCCTCTCAATCTCTCAACCTCAAAACTACCATATATCAACAGTCTCGAGATCTGATCACCAACCACACCGCACACCAAAAACACCAATTCCACCCTCCTTTTTTCAAACTTCTTCAACAATGAACTCTATCTATGTTCAACGTGATTTCCCTAAAAACAAAACCGTACACAAAATGATCACAGTCTAGACATATATAAAGTAGAAACAGTGCATTTATCTCTAAACAAACCCTAAAGCAAAAACAGTACGGATACATGCAAAAATTAGAACAAACGAAAGCTTACCAGACGGAGAATCTTGATCTGAAAAGCGCAAATTCTGAATCTTCTTGTATCCAGTGAGAATCGGGAGAAGAAGAAAAAAACCCTAAGTACAGAAGAAAAAAAAGAGAGAGAGAGAGAGAGGATTGATGGAAGAGAAGAGTGAGGGAAAATGGGGGAGAAGATAGAGGGGGGTGTGGGGGTAGTGTGGTAGGAGAGCTTTGTTGGAAACAGGCTGTCGCCAGCGAATAAACCAAACCCAGAATTGGAAATTATAATTGAGATTTATAATGTTTAAATGTGAAATATACAAAAATATAATGAAAAAATGAAATACTAAAAATAACAGGCTGTATACAGCTGGATGTTCCGAACCTATAGCTTTTGTAATACGTCCGAGTCTAGTTGTCAAACCTGACCCTGGCGGCGTTTACGGTGAATGTTCTAACTTTGATTTTTTTTCTCTTCCTTTTTATTTTCTGTTAAAAAAAATAGAATAATCAATAGTAATATGTTTTTGAAGATTATTTGTTTGACGTTAATTTTAAAAATTCATCTTTAAATATTTATTTGATCATAAAATTTAATTTATTTAGAAAATCTAATCTTTTAATAATTTTAAGACGGTGTTGGTCATAATCGTTAAACTCCGAAACACATAAAATTCAAAATTTGACAATAAAACTCAAAATTTGAAGAATACCAAAAAGTCATGTACTCTAAAAAATTCAAAAACAATTTCAATTTATATTCATGGCCAAACACAACTTTAACTTTTAAATACCATCATTTTGAAAATAAAAACTATTTTTTTCTAATATTTTTCTAAATTTCAACTTCAAAATCTATGAGGATTAAAGACATTGTACAAATATTTTTGGTCGTAGAGTTTGAAAAATATTATAAATTAAGTCTACTCATAAAATAGTTTTAAGTATTTATTTATTTTTAATGTTAATCTACAACATGATAAAATAATGAGTGAATTAAATTGTACTGGTGGTGTAAACAATAGTTGCACTATCACTTATAGCAAAATGATTTTTTTTTTGCTCATTTAGAGTAGTAAAACGACATTAATTAATGTGTTGATTTAACAAAAAATATGATAGAATTAGTTGAGATACTTTAAAAATGTAGGTTGCGAATATTTCCCTTGATTTGAAAGTATGCTCCAATAGTGGCCAATCATTGGCATTTTATGTTATTTTTTATATATTCTTTTTATATTTGACAAATTTTGGAAGGTTAATCGTGCACGTATTTTGATTCAAATTTTGATACGTAATATATCTATGCTCGATTCTTTTTACTTGAATAACAAGTTATCAGTTCATTTTCAAATCGAATAAAAGTGTTCTTGTTACAGTAAGGCATGAACCATGTTGTATGTCCTCCCAATTGAACAACGTTTTTTCTGTTATAACGGACATAAATCATGACGTGCGTTCAACTCACATGTAACACGTGAACAAATCAAGAACGAAATATGTTACTTTTTTACTTAGGAGGAACAAGTGATAATTGGAGATTAATAATTTTTTTATGACAATTTATGTCGTATCAAACACATATTAGAAAAGCAAATATTGAAATTGATATAATCTTTAAAAAAAAACCAACTTATTAATCAAAGAAGATTTCTTAAAATATGCTCTATTTTTTAAACACCTAATTCCCCAAAGTAACTTTAAATTTGCTTCCATTATTTCAAAGGGAAAAAAAAAACAAAAATAGAAAATAATGTAAAATGCCATATGAATACCTTTTTGGAATATTTCTGAGTCTTCCAAACACTACAAAAGGAGTGATGCTATTCGACTTTGTATGGGGATTTTAGATTGGAAAATGAATTGGTGGCTTGCTTATATGAACTTATATAATCCTTTCTCATAAGCTAACTTTTGAAATTGAGTTAGTCGATATGTCATATTTTTATATAGTATCAGGGCCAAGTCCATTTCTGTTTGGACTCTTAGTACACGCTAAAGCTGGACGGCTTGAGCACGAAGGGGTATTAAAATTGGTTGGAAAATTGATTGAAGGTCTACTTATATGGACTTGATAATCTTTTTCTCATGAGTTAGCTTTTACAGTTGAGTTAGATCCATTTGTCATAAGTATAATTCTTTTTTTCATGCAACAATATTTGGCAAAAGACATATCGGCTAATCCAAATCAGATTAATTCCTAATCCATTTCATTTTCTTTTGACACTATCGACAAAGATAATTTAGCTTGTGGAGGGAACAAAGTTTTGGTTAGTTAGAAATCCAAGACTGAATAAATCCAATATTAAAATTTGATGAGTTAAATTTTTTTACCTTCCAAGACTAAATTCATTGCATTCTTGATATTATATATGGGTCTAGAATTTCCTGTATATTAATATTATATATCTTATCCTATGTGTGAAAAATGATGTGTTAAGCTTTGACACATTGAACTTTAAAATTTGAATAGGAAGATTCTGTTTTAAGCCATGAAAGTTTCTATTTAGACATGTGATACCACCATAGAGACCTACAACACTTGTATATGTCCCAATTTTGGCATCTCATAATTGCTTTTATATCAAGGCTTAATTTCACTTAATACCTTTCACCTCCTACCAATAACAATATTCAGTGTCCACCAGCAACAAGTATCATGTAACTCTGTCCACCAAGATTAGGACAAATGGAAAAAATCACCTAGTGTTTTTTGTCTCAACGAAATTGAACATGAGACCTCTTGATTCTCAACCACTTCGTTGAAGACTAGGTCACACAATTGGATGCTAGAACTGGTGTTAATTACCAGTGGTGCACTTCTAAAATAGAAACAAATTTGGAACTCTCAAACCTCCATTTGTGTTGCAACAGGAAGAGTTACTACTCACATTATTCATTTTGAAAGGAATAGAAATAATGTTTGATTTAAATAACAGCAAGAGTCCATTTAAATATCACATTGGCCATCCTACAGAAACTCTATTTTTGTGGAGCAAATTCATGGCAAATATTCTTCCAACTGGCCAACAACACAAGCTTAAGAGTTTAGTATGCACTCCAGGCTCCAAGTTCCCAAAAAAAAAAAAAAAAACTTCGCTTACAGCTTGTATTAGAACAATTCACATTTGCTTTGTCTAAAAATATCCAAACAAGGTCTATGTTTGTGCTGGATCACCTTGCACGCACCTCGACTAATATTAAGAGGCTAGCTACCTCCCACCAGGAACATTCTATCAGTTCACACAGTTATTTCAGTATTTTGATGTTTGACATTTTACCAAAATTGAATGGTCTGATAAGTTGCTCCTGTAATTTATCAATTCTTGTGTCTATACATCTTATTTACTTTAACTAACTTAAATAATGGAGATTGACGAAAACATCAGAATAGACGAACGACAATTCTATTCACCAATCTTTCTCTGATAAATCCTAGCCGTTAAGTTTTCCTTCGTGTGTTGAAATATTGCACAACAGTGTCTTGTCAACATAACTATTATCAGATTCAAGATTGCATGTCAGCAGTTTCTTTCCTGTAAGCTTGGAGCCTCTCTTTCAACTTCTTGCTCTGTTCAAAATTTGCTTTCCTCTTTATAGCTTTCTGCAGAAGGACATCATATTTTTTTAATGGCTCATACATGAGGAACACTGAAGATATGTTTTCAAAGACATATAATTTCCGAATAGGTAAAGCAAGAAACCTTACTTCCTGCCTAAAGCACCGGTCAAGCTTTACTTTCAGTTCTGTGCATTGCCCAAGGAATTTTCCTAGTGGGTGGTCTGTATGACATTTCTGAAACTCTTCAATTATCTGCACCACGGCGACATAGCCATCTTTAGTGTATTTGAGATGTTTTGGCAATTGTTTCTTGAAATTAACCAATAAAAAGAACAAATTAATCTACAAACTATGATATACACACGACGAGACTACATGTCAACTAAGTTGCACCGACTCTTCACTTTTGATGTCACACCCGTGTTGAATTCTCCAAAAATACAATACTTTTGGCGAATCCGACACGCACCCGTTGACATTTTGAAGAGTCCGAGGAAAATAGCATGTCAATGCAAATAAACACATGCAAAGGCAGTGCTTCAAAAGCACAAGATGAATCTAATCTAATTTAACAATGTGAGAAACTTACATCAGCACATAAAGGGTGTCTATGTAGAGTCAAAGGTGGATGCATCTTCTTTCCTTGAGTTCAAAACCTATAGAAGTAGGAAAAAATTTCAAATAAATATTTCCCCTTCTCCATGAAGTAAGAGAAACATAAAGAAAAAGAAACAATAGAAAAGAAAGAAGTATCAGGAAACAAGTTTGCATTTTGAAAAAAGAGAGAAGAAAACCATTATTGTTACAAATAGAAGTCAGGTACTAGGTTCTTGAGAAATAACGGATAATGGTGAAAATTCCCAGGCATTAAGTGAATTATGGTGGGGGATAATTACACGTACAACAACAAAAGGTAAAAATATCCTTTTTCAAGTTAATTACATCTCCTTTCACCAAAATCCAAATAGCATTGCGATCAGGTAACATAAACTTCTATAACAATGCATAACCCTTCGGTAAAAGCATTTCAGATTTCCTTCCCTATTTTCAACCATTCCCTTTTCTGTTGATTTAACAAACCCGTTGCACCATATATTCCACATCCAAAAGATTTTGTACAGGCACTTCATATTTTCTGTCTTTTACTCTACTTATCTTCATTTTTGCAGCTCATTTTTAACTAAATATTAATTTCTGCATCCAATCATGGCTTATTTTGCATTGATCAACAATGCAACAAATTATTAAAGCAAAGACATGCAAATTGACTAGCCCAATCTATTGAACCTTCTCAAATATCTAAACGAACACAGTGAACGTTGTATCCCATTAATCATGACAGATAGCCATAGTTTTCACTCAACACGTCCATTGATTGAAATGTTTTTCCCTACTATTAATTCCTTGAATAAAACATGTATAATTGGTCAGAATTTATTTGACTAAGGAAGATCATGAACTACCTCATTGGCAATTAGCATCATCATAGATAGATGAGCTAATGCTTTGGGTATTGCCAAGGTTGGTCAAAGTCAAGTAATCACTAATCCACAGGCTTTCTAAAGGTAAGTATTGCCCGAAACCTTTAACTTTAGCAGAAGTAGATTGCAATTGTCCAACTGTAGCGACATCAATCCACAAGCTTTCTAAAGGTAAGTATTGCCAGGGTTAATCAACTGCCAAACATTTTTTACACTTGTTGCTTCTTCTGACATAGCCAAATGAAAGAAAAAATTCCCTTGACAATTAAGAGAATAACCTCAATAATTTATTACCAGTAAATTCAACTGTAATTCCAGCGAAAATGTCACAGAATAACTTAGCCAAAAGGCCTAGAATTTCATATTTCATTAATGAAGATTGGTGCTTATGACAGTGATCAAGTTCTAGAGACTGAACTTTCATATACTGAACTCAGATAAATCTCTAATAGGTATCGAAAGAAGCAAAGTAAGAATTACCTGATCGGAGAAGATCGGAGGTAGAGGTGGAACGCTGGTGCCGGAGAGAATGGGGCTGCAGATAAAATTAGGGATCCGACTCTTGATTTCCCTTTACCCTTAAATAGTATTTGGGGATATTTGATTTCTTTTTTATATATGTGGAGTGTTTTAATCCTCTACTTTATTTTCCCTAAAAATTTATAATAGTATACTTTGTGATTGAAAATTAATTAATTCCGCATGAATATTGTTTGTCACTTACACCATACTAGATGTTGTGTGCCCGTGCTGTCTTATTTCATTTAGCCATTAGAATTTCTCATGAAGATTCTTCTTCAATAAAAATCACTTATGAAACAAAGTAACAAATCAAATGAACCATGCATATGAGTTGACATAATGCATCTAGCTAAGAAGCAAACACGGACACTTTACAACATAACTAAGAGTTTGAGACACTGGGGAGTAAAAGTAAAAATTAAATCTAAGTGTTTTATAGATTTAACATTTCCAGTTCATTTAATACAAACTTGCTTCTAAAATATTTCTTTTTCTAGGCAAGCAGCAAGGTGTTTTCACTTGACAGAGAAGCATATCCCTCTTTAAATGGCCTTCCTGGAGCAACACTTCATAGCATAACTCCAAACCATACTTTTTGCAAAAAGGGATTCTAGATTTGCATTTGACAGCATTCCGGTTGTACTATCCAAGACCGCCACCTTCCAAATGTTCATATTGACTATCAATCTTCTAGAAAGATTTTAACTCAAGATCTTGAGGTCTTAGACCCTTCTTTGTATCAACCAATTTTTCAGCACTTGTGTTTCATGGCCTACTTTCTTCTGCAGTACAATGCTGATAATCGCCTGGAGAACAGTCCATGGCATGGATAATTTGTTTGATTCTCCATACTTCAAACTCCGATCAAAGAGACGGGAGATGATTAATTGTCCACTCCTCTTGGTCAAATTTCAATTAAACCTAAGCTTATCCGAATAATCAAAGCTCAACTATTTTATACAAAACAACAACACTAAAGGACTGCACTGATAGCTAACTTAGCACTTGTAAACCTCAATTATATAAAGGAATCAATCATCAGCCAGAAACGTAAGATAAAATGAGGGCTATCCTAAAGTAAAGACATATAAAAGCTACTAAACAAATAATTTTAAGGCAAATTGGCCAATAAAGTAAATTAAACAGCTAAAGCAAAAGAAAATTACCTTCTTATGAATAAATGGAAAAAATATGCAGAATAAACATATATACTCAGTCAGTCTAAAGCCTCTATTCATACATGAATAAAAATGTATAATCTTCATAACATGATAGAAAACAAATAAGTAAAAGGTATTGCACCAGTCAGAAATGAAGGAGAAATTTTCACAGGTAATTACTTATATGTAGTTTGAAAATTGATTAGTTTGGTCTTAAAATCTAATACATCTGGAAATTAAAACAAAACAATGGCAACAGATTGAGCACACAGTTATTTTGATCTCTAACATGCTTGTTGATTATTATTTATAATTAGAGGGCGTTGATTGAGCAAACATCAGGAAATATGGGGATCAATATAGCATTTATGGCAGCAATGAAAGGCTACGAAATGGTTTTGAAATTGCCTTCGTACACGAGCATGGAGAGGAGAGGAAAAATGATAGCATTTAGAGCCGATTTAATCCTCATCGATCCAACCCAAGGAATCATAGGCACTGTTAAGAAGGCTTATGAACTTTTGGAATCTACACCTAATGCTTTCATGCTTCAACAATTCTACAACCTGCAAACACTCAGGTAATTTTAAGAAACCTAACTTAATTAATGTATTCTCTGTTTTACTACAGAATTCTCAATTGCTTCATATCGAAAGCAGGATCATTTTGACACAACAGGCCCTGAAATATGGAAAGAAACTCTAGGTACATATTTTTCATGGGAATACTGGTGTTGGACAATATCTTAAATCCAAAAATCCTAATGTCAAGTTAAATATATACTCTAATGTAGTACTCTTGATTCCTCGAGACAGAATCGGCAAACTTCCAAGATAATCCCATGTCAAGAAATTGAGAACAATCCTATGTCCAAAATAGTTAACGTTGTGCTTATATGGACTCGAGCCAACTGAAAGTAATATGCTGAATGGTGGAAAATCAGGTCCTCATCAGATAACGGGAAATAGGGTCGGATTCAAGCCAGATATCCTTGACATAGATCTAATGGAGGAGCATCGACACTGAAAAAGTAGTGAAGGATTTCCTAGCTAAATATAACCAAAGTTACAAAATCCCTTGGAAACGAAGTTTGTGATTAAGATATAATAGAGCTAATAAGTGAATTTCGTGCCGAAGAATCAAGGATTACCTCAACTAACAACCACGTATCAAGTGTAATTCCACAAGTGGGGTCCGGAGATGGTGGTGCAAGGATTATCGATGGAAAAAACCTGGGCTTGAGGAATCACTAAATAGCAGAAGTTGACACATACCAATAGTTAGCAGAAGAACTTTTCTCCAAGACAGGACTAATTCTGTAATTAGTTTGTAACAAAAGATAATACTAACAAAACGCCATTAGGGTCAGCGATTTTCTAAAGCAAAATACATGAGAAAGTTAATAAGTAGAGGCACCAAACAATAATCATCCAAATCAGTAGTTGTTGTCTGTACATATGTATGTGAAGGTCACATTAACATACTCATGTAAGAATCTATTAAAATTTTACCCACAAAACAAGTGCAATAAGAGAAATTAATTGGAGAAAACAATTACCGCGAAAGAAGTAGACACCTGATTACAAGTGAAGATGGAGTATGACAAGGAAACTGAGAGCTTGAGTATCACAAGAACGAAGAAAGTCGGCAAAGTAGCATCGCAGATCGCAGGTAAAGAGTCGGTCTTTTGAATGGGGAAAAAATGTGAAATGCCTAAAATACCCCCTGGACGACCAAAGTCACATTGACCGCAATACCCTTGGCCCTTATTTAACCCGTTTGGCCATAGATTTCCCAAATAATATTTGGGGGAAAATTTGGCAAATAGTGTTTGTCCATACAATTTGCCATTATTTGGCAAATATCCCAAATTCCCAAATACTAGTTTTTTTTAGTATTTGGGCTAAATCTCATTATTTGGGATCTTTTGAAAATTGAAATTTTACCCCAAACTTTTATCTTTTACAAAAACACCCTCTATAGTAGTTGTTTGCGTTGTATTACATAATTTTTTACGTGAACACCAAAATAGTGATGAAATATTCAGTTAATATGAAAGTGATGATACGATTGTTGATGAAAATGATGAACAATCGGCTCAAGGTAACAAAGTCATGTGCTTTGTCTACTTCACGATGTATGAAATGATGTTTGTTGCACTCACTCCAAACTACCACATTGCTCTAGTGGCATGGAAACTACTTGTTATTTGTTGCAACGAAGATCCAATTGACTTGTAATACAAAATTATGGTTAGTTTTGATAGTTTTTAAAACTTATGGGTATAAATCATATTTTTCTAAAAAGTGAAATATATTTCACAAATACTATGGCCAAACACATGATGAAATTTCACCCAAAATTTTCACCCAAATAATATTTGCCAAGAATATTTGGAAATCTATGGCCAAACGCTAGCTTAGAATGATGATATCTCATATTATTTGTCCATTTTTTCCTTTTATACTGCCCTAATTTTCTTGAAACTAAACAATATTTATAAAATGGATTTTTTTATAATTATCTCTATCTTAATTTTGTAAATTAACATGTAATTTGGTATTAATATTTTTAGTAATGTGGAACAGAAAGAGTATTTTTATAAGTGTAAATCAAATGTTTATGGCAATTTGAAAATGGGTAAAAATCGTTCACGCCCAAACTTTGCTTTTAAAATGACTTCTACACAAAAATATTAAACTGTGTGCTTTAACTAGACGACACGACTTATATTGTTGCACAAATGAAAGTTACAACTAATAATAGCAGATTATTGAAAGAGTAATCGATCAATGAGTGCGAAATACCAGATGATTATAGAAAGAAAATAAAAAACTAGTAATACATCCTCAGAACATGAAAAATCGGATTTCTTTTCTCCCATTGTTATTGGAAGAGATTTCTTTCAATTTCAATGCAAAAACAACTACTCCATCTAAAGTAAATATCTGTATTGCCTTTTTCATGTTTTTCCCACAGATTTAGTAAAATCATAATCTGCAAATATGTCATATAAAGGGTATCAAGCCAGCTCCCAACTCTTTATACACTAGCTAGACAAGTTTCCCCACTTTTGTCCCTATTTTCTACAAGAATTCTGGATGTAATCAAAATATTTGTCTATCTCTGATTTGAGGATGACTCTCTAATACCTTGTGAACAAATTGGTTGTTCTCTTATCCTCGATAAAAGGATTGACACGTTCTCTGTTGCAATGTCAAGACGTTCCCTAGACTTTGCTGATTCTGTTACTAGAGTAGAAACCATACTCTGCAATAACTGAACCCTCTCAGTGTGATCACTTTGAGTATTCTGAAGAGCTTTTGTTGCTGGTGTACTGATTCGTCGCCACCGGTGTGGCAGATATCTTTCTGGTATTTGGAAGCAATTTCCTGTTGAAAGAACACGGAGAGCATGGCGACAAAGGATCCCAGAGAACTCAAATTGATGGCAGCTGCAGCTCACGATGCCCTCTCTTGGAACCCAGTAAACTTTCCGTCCACCCTCAAGTTTTGTATGATGTCGGACAAGGAAACCATCTTCCATCTGGAATGATGCATAATGGGCAGCCAAAACAAGTTGTTCTTGAAGCTTAGAGAATGCAAATGGTGTCAAAACTGTAGCAGCATGCGCTTCCATGGGAGCACCTGTTTTAAGGCATATATTTTGTAGATTTTGCTGCATAGTCTGCTGCTCTCCTGTTTGATCCTTGAAATCAACTGTAACAGCCACCTGATAATCAAGACTATGTAATTCAGAATGGAGATTACTTTTACTCGGTAAAAACATATGATGAAACCACCTTGAGAGGTTGCAGTATACATGCTAACTTTTCAACTATAGGACCAGCGGTAACATTTCAGTAATGACCTCATGTTTCCTATACACCTCCATCAAGTAAAGTGTGTATAAAACTAACCTAAAATAACTCAAGGGGTAGGGGGAGGGGTGGGAAGGAACAAGTGGATAGCAGTGACGGCATTCTTGACAATCGTCATGACTGACAATTTTCTTCCAGATACTTGAGAGCAAGAATTATCAGGAAGCAAGCAGTGTTTAAACATCCCGCCAATTTTAACATTATGAGTAACTTTGGCGGCGTTGTAGCAGATATCAAGCTTCACCTGAGATATGAAGTCCCTAACCTTCATCTGGCTTTGAAGTGGTCAAGAGAAATTATTTAGAACTTTAAGAACATTCTACCACTACCAGTAAAAATAAACAGGAGCACAATTAAGGTCTAGATAACATACTTGTTCCACAAAATGTGCTAGCCGGCTTTGTGCACTCAGAAACCGCTGGATAAAAGCATTGATTGACTTTGAGTGGCCTGTTGTGGTCATACCGGCAAAAAAGTGGCTCCTAAGGTATGGCAGTGCCCACAGTGATCTCAAGGCAAATAGACTGGCAATATGCCTATTTGTATGCAGTCCAAATGAGTTCACCATGTCTCTCCAACCCAACTCAAAGTCCTCCACAGATTCCAAATTATAGAGTCGGTTAAACTCAGCCTTCCACTCGTTGTAGCGCTCTCCTAAAACAGCATTAAACCATGATGGGTACTTTGCTACGACAAGCCAGATGCAAAGGGCATGCTTAGTCGTGGGCATCTCCAAGTTAATCGCCTCTTTGAGACACATGTTTTGATCAGTTAGTATTGTTTGTGGAGCCTTCCCATTCATGAACGCCAAGAACACCTTACACATTTGAAAACATACAAAGTATCAACAGAGATTCTGAAAATTGTTAATATACTCATTTGTGGACACCATTGCATATTCTCTTCTCTTTTTCTCAAATTTTCGTTTCTCCTTCAATTGGAGCAGGAGCGGATAGTAAGCTGAGAAGCTTTAAAAATATTCCTATATCCAAATGTTAGTACCACAAAAGCTAAACAGTATTAACTGCGATAAGCGATATCAATATTTATCTGATCTGCCCAAAAAAAAACACTGTTACAGCAAGCATTTACCTAATAGAAACTAGTTATTAAAACCATTAATAATTCCTGCCCTTTCAAGACACATTTCCATTAGTGCAAGCCCATATATGTTCAATTTATTTTTCAAAGAGATGTATCCGAATTTTCTTAAACACTCTCATAGTCTAATCTTTATAATACCAACAATGTTACTCTACGTTCTTAAATACTTGTCATCCTTACTAAAAATAGATGATCCACAATAGTTGTCATTTTAAAAAACCAACACATAATTAGTTATTTGTTTCCACCTTTACCCTTAGTCATAAATATGGAGAGATATTAATGTGGTGCAAAAGAAAGAAGCATTCAATAGACAGGATAAGTAAATAAGGATAATCTAGTCAAATTACCCTCTACTTATTGTTTATTTAAGGGGTGTGCAAAAAAAAACACGACAAGTATTTATGAATGAAGGGAGCATATGAGAGAATGTTGGGTCGGTAATGTCCAACATATTCACAAGATGAGTGTCGTTGAGGTGTGAATGCTAAGTTGAATGTGTACTCATACAAGATAAGAAATGGCCACATTCGACAAAAGGTACGAGTAGCACACGTCAAAGATAACTTCGTAGGTGCAAAACTATGGTGAGTAAAGGTGTTAAAGAGGGTACGAGGTAGACCTAAAATCACATGAGGAAACTGTCATGAACGACCTACAATCTCTTAGAATCCACACAAAAGATAGAGCACAAGAGAGAAAGAGATCTATATAGGCGACATTTATTAGTTCGGGTCCTACTGAGATTCATATGCCACTAGGGAATATAGAAAAATGCCTATTATCCACCAGTTTTATACCATGTGATACTGACCCTCGGGATTTCTAGGTTATCAACAAAATATAAAGAAAATCTGATACGTCATTGTTGTTATTATTATCATTATTTATGTATAATATGGGTCTAAGATGAGCTTAAATGGGGCGGCAGGTTCAATGAGGATTCATATAGTTAATCCCAACTTGCTAGGGACTGAAACGTAATTGTTGCAGTCATTGTATTTATAGAGTATGATCTTGCAGTTAGTCACTGTTACTTACCTAGAAGCATGGAAAATCTGACCAGACACATTATGAATCATGACAAAAATTTGAATCGTCAGTTAGTATAGATATCCAAATGTCATATGCATAAAATATTTCAACTATATTCTGTGTTTATTTTCAATCATTTTTTTTCTTTTTCCTTTACTGGAGAGGGTGGGGAGTTACGGTTTTTAAAGAAGGGTAGGGATATGAGTAAAAGTGAAGGCATCCAAGTAGGCAAATTGTTCAGAAATCAGCAGCATGAAATTGTATATTCCTGCTTTTACCTTCAAAGCCCAAGAGTAGGATCTCAAAGTTTCCTCTCGAAGAAGAACACAACCGAAGAAGCATGGCATACCATAGTTGTTCACTCCAACCCATATCCCAAGTGGCATGTCAAAAGCAGTCAACCGATGAGTTGTATCAAAGACCACAGCATCACCAAAAATGTCATATGACTGGATGGATGAAGCATATGACCATGCAATATTTTCCAATCTGTTGTTGGAATCTAGTGAAAAATCATACTTGAAATTGGGATCCTTTTCCTTAATGTTTCTACACATTCTCAACAAGTCTATGCTTTCATCCTCCGGATCCACCTTCTTGAATGACTGCAGCAAATTTCTGACATCCTTCTCAGTGAATGGCAAATAGCCTGGTTCCACACCCTTCTCTAGCTCCA